CTTTCCCTTCTGCTGGTTTTTCTCCACTGCATCCATAAGCAAGAGTGTCCAATTCCTGGCTTTTAAAAACAAAAAACAAAAAACAACAACTTGACAGTACCAATCAGAATATTTTGTACCCTACGTAATTCTCAGCAGGAGTCAAGAGTCAAACAAAGTTCAATTCAAACCACATTGCAGTGATTGAAAATTTTCCCTGACTGCTGACTAATCATTGTCTTAAGTGAAATAAATTGGTATTATCAGCAAAATTTCTGGTAGACAGGTCACCAGAGGAAGATTCAATGTCAAATGAACTTGGAGATTACATTCCCCACTACTGAAATGGTCCATTCAAGACAAGGCTAGTCAACTTGATCTCTGAAGGATGCAAGAAACTTGTAGCTTTGTTTTCTCCAGCTAAAGTTAATTTTCTCCAGCTGTTAATTTTCTGTCTTAAAACTACAGGAAGTATTTTAAAAATACTAATGGTTTCTTGGGAGTGGAAAATACATATATTCAAAAAACCTGGATAGGAGAATATTAATCACATATTGGGGTAGCCAACTATTCTTATTCCTTTTTTTAAAAAATTCAAAATTTAAAATAATTTTGTAAAAAGGCAGAATTATGCATGGTGACACATATTTTGTCCCAGAGAAGTAGACTTTGATAAATTAAACAAAAAGAGATAATTATTCATATGGTTTAATTCGAGCCCTAAATTTTTTATAATTATCTGATCAGATTGATCTTCCATGCATTTGCTTTGCAAGGAATTATAGCCAATTTACCTATCATAGTGGCTGTTTTTATATTTCTAATTTATATATATATATTTAAATGAGAGTAAAGTAAATTGTAGAGCTAAAGATATTAAATCTGTACTGATGGTGGGTATTCTATAAATAGGCTATTTCCGAGTTCTAGCACTTACCTAAGCATTTCATAGGGTACATAAAAATACACCATCATGCAGTTCACAATCAACTTTAGACATAATTTGACAAGTGAGAATGACAAAAAGTAGGAAGTTAGAAGCACAGAAAGATGAAGGTTACTTAAGTGAAGTAACTCATGTACTTAGATCAGGGGGTTTTAGGTACTAACTGCCAGTCAAGAGGGTTAAGAAGAAAGGAAGAATATGGCTCTGTTCTTCATGGGGTGTTCTGGTAGAAGTTTGTTAGATAACTGTATGATGAAACATATTCTATAAACAGGGTTTGGCATAATCACACCAATAATAGCCCTGGATTGGTGGCTGAAGGGAAGTCCCAATATAGGACCAGTATTAGTACTGCATGGTTCAGTGCACAGAGCCCACACCTGGGGAGGTGTTAGTGCTCAGCAGCTCCCTCCCACTCTCCATGCAGCTGCAGCACCCTTGAGTAAATCAGGCAGAACCAGGCACCTGCACAGAGCATATTTGATAAAGTGTATAAGAATTTGTCCATAGCAGTGTGATAACTGGGAAGCTTCCCCTTAGAGCCTCCTTGCACCTTCTCTGTGCATGTAAAGGCATATTTAATTTGTATGATGCTCCTTCTCAGAATGTGCTCAATGCACCATATAACTACAAACCAATTTATGAACTCAGCTGTAACATTTCCAGAAGCACCTAATGCCTTGAGAAGTCCAGTTTAACTGTATATAGTCTTCAAAGAAACAGATTCTGCTCATGCAGATGGCTTTTCTGTATGCTGCTTAGGGCATATGGCCTACTGGTTGCCCTGAGACCCATCCTGAGTACCTGGATACCTTTCTTAATGCTACTGAAAACCTGAGTACCTGAGGGTTGTGAGTTTGAGACGGCAGCAGAGCAGTACAGCACTCCACATGTAGCACCAAATTCCTCTGGAAATTTAAGCCCTGAAAAAATCCAAGTGCCCATAGGTAGAGCAAGGAATTTCTAAATGGCAGTGGTGAATGTATGTTAGACTTACACATAGTTCCCCTCTGCAGATACACTCCTGGAAATTTGAATTGCTTCTGAAAATGGAACTGGTGCCTTAGAAACTTGCATCTGTCATTGAGCAGTCTTCATCTAATCCATCACCGAACTGAAATGAAGCTCTTTGATGTGTGTCTACACATGACAGTTGAGGGAGGAAGGGAAAAAATATATTCATTAATGGGAGATTACAGAGAAACCTCTTTACATGGAGAAGTTGCAGTTGGAATTCTTATAGCTAGACACTTTAACTGGCACTAAACCCTTTAATTTCTTAAAATTTGTCTATTTTTTTCTCTTCAACTGAAAGACTGCAGCAACAGCAGCATAGTGACCACTGTTGCCCTGGAATTTGGGAGCTACATGCTAACTCAGGGTGCAGAGGATAGTCGCTTCTATTGCAAACAGTGCTACTGCAGAAGGGAGTGTTTCTTGGCAGTACCCCTGGCTGCTGCTAACCTCGTGTGCTTCATAAAGTCTTGTGGTGAATTCCTTCACTGTAAGCATGGCAGAATTGGTAAATAAGTCACACCTGCACAATGCAATATCTTGCTACCCTCGTTAACAGCTAATCAGTATTATTAATCCGGAATACTGAATTAAAAAAGCAATGTAAATCCAACCTTCAGGTACTAGCTTCTAAGAAACAGATGTGCTGCAGAGAATAAGGCATATGTGAAGTATTTTCTGCACACGCAAGCAAAGTTAGGGTACAGCCTTGGCCTTCCACCTATCAGATCTCATTGATCTTTTGCATAAAGATTGCTATTGTGAAGTGTATTACTTCACTCCTACATCCCCTATGTAATGTGAATGCCTGACCAAGCCTTTTAGTTTACCATGATTCAAAGCAGAAAGGTTGCAGGTTCCTCTCAACACTGGTGTGACTTAGGAATCATCCTTGGTGTGAGTTAACCTCAGTAGGCAGCCACTCTCTCACTTCTCCCCAACTCCCAGTGGGACAGAGGAAGACAAAAGGATGAGTGAGAGCAAGAAGACTTTTGGGTTGAGATAAAAATTGTTTAATAAGTGAAGAAATGGAAGAAGAGAGAAAGAAAGCAAAATAAAACCAGTCATGCAAAGGCAATCACTCACCACTTTCTGTGGGTAGACCAGTGCCCAGCCAGTTCCCAAGCAAAAGAAGGCTAATATCCTTAAACTCCCACCTCTCCCTTTCCACTGCTGAGCATGATGTTAGATGGCATGTAATATCTCTGTGGTTAGTTCAGGTCATCTGCCTGAAGACCTTGACACTGTGCAAACACTGTTCAGCAAGAGATAAAACATCAGTGTGTTATCAACTTGTTTTGGTCACAAATCTAAACAACAACAATATAGGAACTGTTATGAAAATAATTAACTACATCGCTGCCAGACCTAAATACAATCATATATTAAGTTAATATATTCTACAAATAGGAAATCTTCGAGTATAAAAACCCTGATAATCTTTTGGGGCTGGATTGAATGAAACAGTGTCCTTGAAATAAACTTGTACTTAAGCCAGGTTTGCAGTAGTGCATCTTAGTAGATCTGACTGTGGGAAAAGATACACAGCAGATCTTGCTGCTGTTACAGATTCACAAGCCCCCATCATTGTTTTATTTAAAAAAAAAAAAAAAAACAACACTAATTTTTATGTATACTTGCTTTTATATCACTCTGGCTATTAAGGGACCTGAAAGTGGGTATATTTTCTTGAGTCAGAGCAATATAGGTAGATTTTATGGAAAACATACCCCCATCTGCTAGTGGCTCTAAGTTGACTTCTCTGTGAACACTAGAAGTCTTAAAAATGCATAATCAAGGGGAGTTTTTATTTAAAAGTTACGTATTTATCCATTATAGCTTAAAAAAAATTGTGAGTGGTACCTCATAGTGGGATAATCTTTGCTGAAAACTGAATGAAGTGGTTGGATTTTAACTTGCTTGCTGCAAAGAGTGAGCAACCTTGCCATAGAAAGACATTTTGCTGGCTCTTAGGCTCTGATTCCCTAAATTCATTACCTTTCAATATTTAGTAAAGGAACCTGGAGATCAAATTCTACTTTAAATAAATCAATGTAGGAAACTGAAGGAAAAGTAGAGAAATTCAAGTTTGCCTGAATTGTCAAGTTAATTATATAATTTTCATTGGTGCTTAAGATGATATTAATTGCTGACATCAATAACAATATAAAGCCAGCTACCTTTTCTTATGATCTGAAGGAGAAGACTGTAAACCATGTATCTTAACACAGTCTCTTACAAACTGTCTTGCCCAGCAGGGCATGAAAAATGGTTCACATGAATTCTGAAACACTTTCAAAGGATGATGAATTCAGAATCATGTCAGAAAAAGAGGTGTAGAGGACTGGTCAATGCAAGAGAATTCTATTGTGTCCTAATAAGTCTCAGTCTTTTAAAATGCTGTGTTATGTTGTATTTTGTTGTTATGCAAGCATACAACACTCCATTGCCTAAAGTGACAAAATGACAGCAACATTTCCTAATGCAGGTAATTTCCTGCACATTTCGATTTGCATTTGCAGTAGCAATGTTAGTGAAAAACTGAACAGGTGAATTGAATTCCTGCAGCATTCACGTTCTCACAACACAAAGTGTAAAACATGAATATGCAGAAGGTGATTCAGATATAGAGCACAGGGTCAAATTCTGTCTCATTCCAGGGTTTGGAAGGAAGGTCTGGAAGCCATTAATATTTCAAAATTAATGCCTAAAAGCACTGAAAGTGTTAGAAAGACCTGGTGCTGGCCCTTTGCACAATAGTGAGTTTTACCCAATAGTGGGTGCCTGTCAGGAAAAAGCTGTAGTTGTTGTTGTGCATACTGTAGTATTTCTATAGGTTCATGATTGAACTGGCATTTCAGCACAGTTTGTAATGATTCTATGCATACTATTAATCAAACAAACAAACACATTCATTGGTAGTGATGTGTACAATTTTGATTTAAGAAGGAGGTAGTAAGTACCATCCTGAGGTGTACAGGTTGCACACTTCTTGTAGCTGGCCTGTGATTTTCAGTGTCTTCAGTGTCTTGCAGGAGGAATACAAGCAGAGGAGACACAATCAAATCCTAACATTTTTTTTGGCACTAACATGTAACTTATACTCTTGCCAAGTAAACAAGTAAAACTAGTTGCTCTGTACTCAATGTGCCTACTCCCTCTATATGTTCAGAGTCATATATAAGTAATGACGTAAAAAATAGCGGAATTCTAGTGATTAATGGTTCATAAGCTTTATGCCTCTTTTAACTACCTGTTAGGACATGGATTCTCTTTTTTCTTGTGTTTGCTAAGCAACAGCCACCTGCACAATTATGTGGATCTTGCTAAAGACCATAAAAATTTGAAGATGCAAATGTAGTTCACCCAGCTGGGTCCACGCAGTTTGCATACCGTGGTGATGTGAGGCATGAGAAGGGAAGAACTTACCTTGGTACCCAGTGAGGAGGAATAAACATTTTTGCAAAAGATGTGAGCAGTTAGATATCACTTCAGGATAATAAAGCTGGAACCCCCATTGTTGTTTCACTGTGCTTTTGTTTTGGAGAGCAACTGTAGGGAAGAACAAGGAGGAAATAGCACTTTCCAGACAGCTGTTGTAAGGCCATGCAGAGCTGTGCACAGCTGATGTGACTTGGGATTGGAAAGGCTGGTTTGTAGGAGCCCACCAGGCATTTGCAGAAGCCACCTTCTCCTTAGCAGTGGATTTTCTATGTGCAGTGCTTCTCACTAGCCGGGATTGACTTGAAACGGCAGGGATAAGTCTCTATAGTAGCCTAAGATGAGTGGGAAAAACTGGATCCTGAAGGCTAAAACAAAGAAGTCTATGTTCAGAATCTGGATTAGATTTTTTGAAGAAAGAACCACAAAAACTAACAACTGCTGTGTTTCTCAAGCAGTAAGAAGTGGGTGGAGTTTTTACTGGCTAGAGCCTGTTTGACTTCCTCCTAGACGATGTCATTTTGCCTAGTAAGCACATAATTAGTAGATGGTACAGGATATTATTTTAAAAATAATTTCTTATTTTACTGAAAATATTAATGCCTTGGTAATAAAAAGACCATTAAATAAATTTTAAACTGCTCCCTAAAATGCCTTTCTTCATTGCTTTATTCTAATTAGACACTTTTTTGCATGAGAGGTTTTGACAAAGAATTATGAGCATGAGTAGAAATAAAGCCTATAACTCTTCTGTAATTGAAGTCCTCAGCCCAGACGTAATTCAAAGCAATATACATAGTTGTTGTAACGTGTTACTATTACTAATTTCCCAGAAAATATTTTCCCTAAAAAATTGTGTGAGACATGATTTAGTTACCTTTTTCAAATAATATTGTGATGCAGAAAAAATTTTTATTGGTTGAATTTTGAAGTCTAGTTTAAAATAATAATACGATCCTATTTTTCTTTTGACAGAGTATCAAGAAGAAAAACACAAGCAAACAAGAAATGAGCACATACCTGCGATTCATAGTCTCTCGTATGAAGGAACGGGTGAGTCTGAAACAGGGAAGCTCATCAAAGTGTTGGGTAGAACTGCAGAGGATGCATTTGGTTTGGCTATGTGTGACTGTGCAGGGAGGAGGGCTACAGAGGGTGTCATTTTATTTCCTCTGTCGTAAGCAATGTGTGTGTTTGAACACATACCTACCATGTCTCATTGCTCAGATTTGTATCATTCTGGCAGGAGCAGTTTATGCCGTGGGCCTGTGGCTCCTCTGGAATGGTTTGGGACACGTGTCATCTGCCAGATTTTGGACCTACAGTTTGGCCTTGTTTATTCCCCACCTGAAATATTCCAAAATATTGGATTTTTTTAATCTCTTTTGTGTGTGTGTTTTAAGCAGGTTCTAAATGCAATAACTTACATTGTCTTATGGTCCTTTCAGGCTATAGATCTAAACAAGAAAGGGAAGGACAACAAACACCCAATGTATAGAAGGCTGGTACACTCAGCTGTTGATGTTCCCACTATACAGGAGGTAGAGTGACTTGCTTTCTAACTTCCACACTGTTCATGATGTCTTTTAAAAGTGAAGATAAACCTTCAAGACTAAAGCACTAATCCTTTTCATTCTCCTTGTGATCAGTATTTCAGTATTGTATCCAGCATTCGATATGGGAGCTTAAAATTTCAGACTTTTCCTCATAAATAGGTAACCGAGTAAAACCATTTTGAGTGGTGCCTAAACATGAAACATAGAGTATCCTCAATTCCTTTTTTACCAAGTTTTTCCTAAGAGCTATAGGTAGCTGAAATCTTCAGAGAAAGTACCCTTTCTCTAAGACACTGAATATGGACTTGAGTGCCCACATTTGCATTTCTGCCCTAGTGTTTTTGACCATATTCCAGTTTTAGTCATTAAAGCCTTATGTAGGTGGCAACTTTATCAACATCTAGATGATTCATAAAGAACCAAAAAACAAGACTCACTTAAAACAAATGTTTTGCATTAATTGTTCCAAAAATAAAATGCTGGTAAATACACTGTCCTTTTTTTCTGAAGCAAAGGTCTGGTTGTGACTCATGTAAATCAACTGCATATGACCAAAATAAGCAGCTTATCCATCTTTATTCATTGCTGCAACTGGATTGCTATGCACTGCTGTAATATATATTACCTTTTACAACCATAGATATGAAAAGCCTTTGGTTTAATATTGTTATTGAAACATATGGATAAACAATAATTTCATTGGCAGTTTTGGAGACTGACTTTACTGGCTGGCTTGAAGTACTGGCAACACTGGTTGAGCCTGAAAGTAGGTCAGGCCTTCCTTTCATTATGTCATGTTCACCTGCTTCCACAGAAGGTTTTTTGGGCTTGATAACATCCTAGAAATGGATGATGTTTTGTTTGTTAACTGGAATACTCATAGGTGGTCTTGACAGAACACAACTGAAAACGCTACATTCCTTACTAGACATGGCTCCATGTAAGCATTTGTTACAAGTTTGGAAGACAAAAACAAACAGCCTTCATCAGAAAACACTGACTGTCAAGTGAAGATCCTGGAAGTATAAAGGCAGTTAACATTGATTTGAAACTAGCTGGTATTTTAAGGTACAAAATCTTCATGTCAGAAATTTATTTTCATTTGAAGAAATATTCTGGGCCACATCTTACAATGAAGCTACTCCAGGTTTACCTTGTTATACCAAGAGATTTTTTTTAAAACTTAAAAGCTTAAAAGTCAAGTATTAAAGCACCTGGTTTACTCCTGGACATTGTATAAAGGGACCAATGCACCCTGTGTTCAGGTACTAACAAACCAACTCAAAGAGTTGTAAATATTCCTTCTGCATGCAGGAAAAGCAGTGTCTGATCTGTGTTGCATAATGTAGTTCTGTGAAAGCTTCTCTGCATAAAACAGGTCCAGCATTTTAACAGTTTTTTTCACAGTTTCATGCTTTCTTTTGTGTAGAAGGTAAATGAAGGAAAGTACAGGAGTTATGAGGAGTTCAAAGCAGATGCTCAGCTACTTCTACACAACACAGTCATTTTCTATGGAGGTAAAGTACTACAGTTACTGCTTGCTTTATTTGATTTATCTTTATCTGTAGGAAACTCACAAGTTCAGGATTGAATTTGCTATTAGATAATCTTAAAAGTGGATGAGGTAATTTGAGAGCCCTGAAAAATCAAAGTAAGCTGCAAGAGGACTTTGCAGAGTCTTTCTGGCCCACTTACTACACAACTATTTTAATCCTCTCTGGCTAAACCTGTTAGTGCACTTTTGCCATCCTGTTTCTTCTGCAGCCCAAGTTGTAAGTCATACTGCAGATTTCTGCCGGTACACATATGTTGCTGTAGGGTAGAAAGAGGTCTGATCTCTGATGTGCTGTCTCAGCAGAAACATGTACTATAAACACATATTTTTCTCTTCTGAGCACTATCTGCTGTCATATTGTGACAGCAAATATAGCCATATCCACAGTAGAGGTGTCCTGCTGGTGCAGTGTGTGGAGGTACAGCCATCAGAGAAGCTGCCAACCCCTGGGAAGGTAACGAATGACTGAGCCTGGAGGAGGCTCCAGGGGGACCTTATTTTGGCCTTCCAGTACTTGAAAGGGGCCTACAGGAAAGCTGGGGAGGGGCTCTTCATCAGAGAAGATAGTGATAGGACAAGGGGTAATGGTTTTAAACTGAGAGAGGGGAGATTTAGGTTAGATATTAGGAAGAAATTCTTCACTATAAGGGTGGTGAGGAACTGGAATAGGTTGCCCAGGGAGGTTGTTGATGCCCCATGCCTGGAGGTTTTTAAGGCCAGATTGGATGAGGTTTTGTGCAATGTGGTCTAGTGGTAGGGGGGTTGGAACTTGATGATCTTGAAGGTCCCTTCCAACCTTAATGATTCTATGATTCTATAATTCTGTGATATGGTGGGACAGTCTGAAAGTGGAAAAACACCACCATCATCAGGGAAACTGGGAGGAGGGTGAGGCCAGTCTATTTGTGGCACCAGAAGATCCAGCAGAAAATTATATTTAGGGAGAGATTTGCCAATCGAGAAATACACAGGTGTGAAGGGAAGCACACAGTGATAGATAGTCTGTGGAGCACTACTCTGAGCAGAAATTCTTCTGTGATTGTACCTGAGTTCCTGTCAAGTGGTGATAGCAGTTTTTGAACAATTGAGGTGTGTCGTTAAGACACTAGCAAAGAAACTGGATCTGTATTGAGAGCAACCCTGTTTCCCTGCTGCTGGTCCGCAGATGTGTACATGTATTGTTCAGCGAAAAAGTTCCCAACAGTACTTTGCATAGAATATGAAAGAGAAAACAAAGATAAAACTGATGGTTAGAATTTTTTTAATGGAGGGGTTATGTAAGAAAATAAATTATGTTTTGTATTTTCAAGCAAGACAATTATAGCATGAAGGTCAAGCAATGGCAGCTGCAAATCTTTGTGAGCATGGGGATCACACTGTGATTGTTCAAACCTTTTCTTTTTAATTCATAGCGGACAGTGAGCAAGCTGACATAGCAAGGATGCTTTACAAAGACACATGTCATGAAGTAAGTAGTACCAAGCAACCAAGATGTAGACAAGATAATTTTAATTTCAGAATCCACAAAAATTATTCTTCATTTTATAAATGAAGGATATGAAGTTTGTTTTAAATTTTCCCCTAAATTTCTAATGGTTGATTCAGAATTCCTTTTTCTTTATTTTTTTTTTAGAAAACGCCAATATTCAAATTTCAGTTTTGAACATTATCTGGTAATTCATAGTTGGACTAGAAATAATTGTATTTGCTATTCTAAATTGAACCTGAGGTGAGATTCCTACCAAATTCTGTAATTGGCAGTGAAACATTTCTCAACATTCAGAGGAGACCAAAAAATAAAGCTGCCAAAATTTCTCCATTTGTACAGTTGAATTACTTCTTTCAGAATGTACTTTAAATATTTGATGAATTAAAATTCTGTGCATTTTAGCTCTGATAAATCACTAAGAATTGTACTAGTCTTTCTCCCTCTGCCTTGTCTTTCAAAAGTACGAATAAAGTTTCTGCACCTTGTCCTTCATCCACTCTCAGCTCACCTCAGTTTCACACCTTTAGTTTGCACAAACAGAAGTAACTCCAGCAAAATAACAAGCAGAGCTGAAAAATTGTACTACTTGAGAAGGGGATGTTACTGAAGTCACATAAATAGGAAATTTTGGGCTCATTTACCTTTTTTTTGTTTGTTTTTCAGCTGGATGAACTGCAGCTTTGCAAGAACTGTTTCTATTTGTCAAATGCACGACCTGACAATTGGTTCTGCTATCCTTGTGTATGTTGCTGACACAGATTTTTATTTGCTTGCTTTTCTCTACAAATGCCTGCAGTTTTGGTGTCATTAATGCATTGAATATTCAAATTCAGTAGGTTTGTTTCAAAAACCTGTTTAGGACTCTGCAAGCCTAGGTATCTTACACAAGTAAAATGTTGATTCAAGTTCAAAGCATTAGAAATATAGGTTATAAAATTTGGTTATCAACCAGTTGCTACAGTGTCACAAGAAAATAAAGAGCTTATAGAAATAAAACTGCTTCTGGATGAAGCTATAAAGACAAGTTTAATTTTTGGGCTGCTTAAGATCTCTGTTTTCAATAGACAGGTACACCATTTTCAGGCTTTGTATTTTTTTTTACTTTCATCCATACAAAACATCTAGCAATAAATTATGTATTGTAAGAAGATAAAAATGAAAACAAACTAAATATAAAGAGCAACTATATTCTTAAGATGCTAGCATAGTATTACAAAAAAAAATGTTTGTGGGAGGTATCAATATAATTCTTCATATCCAATAATTAATACATTTTTTCCAGATACCTAATCATGAGTTGGTTTGGGCAAAAATGAAAGGCTTTGGATTTTGGCCAGCCAAAGTCATGCAGAAAGAGGACAATCAAGTTGATGTTCGCTTTTTTGGCCATCACCACCAAAGGTAATTTATTAATTCCATGTGCTGATTTTTACAAACAATAGTTGAAAGGATTTCTCTCATCTATCATGTTGTAAATCCTGGCTCAGCTAGTTGCCAACATTAGAAACACTGAATACTTTGCCATAATTGTTTCAGAAAATTTAAAGCTCAGTCTAATACATCCAAAGTTGCCAAATGGCTCAGAGATTCCCTTTCCACAGTTGCCAGAGGGATAAGTTAATGCCATTTTAATTAAACAAAGCAAGAGAACGTCAACTATTTTTTTTTCAAATCAGTAGCAGCCTGCTAATCCAGGCCAAGGTGAAAATGGGACAGAAATGTACTTTTACTACCAGCAGTATTACTGACTTTGTGCAATTTTCTCTTCTGAGCATGCACAATGCAATTTTGTATTTTAGTAACATAATATACATCACAAATGTTTCTGTCTCACTGCTAGACCATTGACAGAGCTCCTGCTGTGAGACAGTTTGCCATTTCAGAGACTAACTCTTTACATTGGAAACTTCACTCGTAGAGGTCACCTTTTAGTTCTATCTTGTATTGTTTGTTCAGCATTGGGGGAGCATTATAGTAGTATTACTACAGTGGATGTCCTGATTTATTTATTTTTCTTTCTGTTTGATTTACATGCCTATAATGTGAGGAGATGAGACATCTGCAAAGTAATTCGTGGTTGTTGGGAAGTTGGTATCTTTTTGGTGCATCTGAAAAGGGCCTAGACAATTCAGGAGCAGCATTTTATGAGGCTCTTTATTTAAATGGCTTTTAGTGTAACTTGCACAGTATATCAGTATATAACATGTTTTCATTTGTTATGTGAACTACCACGATTTTCTAATAGGCATAAAGTGGGTAAAGGATCCTTATTTGTGTCTCAACCACAAAATGATTTACTTTGTGTCCGTGTGAAAGGAAAATACAGTTCATCTCATTAGTAGTTTTAGCATTAAGTTCACACAGCTTCCAACTACTTAATAAAGTAACATTACACTTGTGGGATGAGGTGCTTGCAACTTCTTAAAAGTATGCTGATAGAAAAGGCAAAATACATTTTAGTAGAGTGCAATTGCTTGGTCACTGTGCTGGACTTGGACGAAAGGCCAAATTCCTAGTTGATGTAGATTAGTATTGTTTCTTTCACTTCACTGAAATGGAATTTATATTGCAAGAATTGAGAATCTGTTAATTAGTTACAGTATTTACTCTGTTATGTAGAAGTGCATGGCAATTACTCTTTTTCTTTAATGTCCAGTATTGCTTGGTATAACCTTTCAAAATGTCAAGAGCTGCCCATCTAACTCTATGAGCAGTCTCTGAAAATATTTAAGAGAATGAAGTACATTTGGAACCAAGTCACTGGCCTGAATTCAGTCCAAAAGAGCATGACAGTCCCCACATGAGTTCAGTCCTGATAGACAGGGATCTGAACTACAAAGTATCTCTATTTGAGGTGATAATTTGGTACGTTCCTTGATGGGTTTAGCAAGGAGGTCGAGGGCTAAATTAGATTAACATGTGAACCTTCAGTAAAGATGTTTCTGTGTCTGACCCAGCACATTTAGCAAGAAAGCAGGTAGGAGATTTGACTGTTACTGCTGCTGGGAGATGTTTGTGGCTTCAGCCATAGCACCCATGCCTCAGCTAACAAATGCTCATAATAACACAAACGTCTAATGATATGCAGTCCATGTTTTTTTCACATGTTTTACATGTACAAAAATTCTGAGTAAAAAAGGAATTGTCGGTGATCAGCTACAGTGAAAAACTGCTTTTGCAGTCAGTTTCTTGGGTCAAGATCCTTCCTCTGTATTTAATTTTTCTGAACCTGTGTCTACTGGATATTTCAAAGGGCCTGGATCCCCTCAGAAAACATTCAGGATATCACAGTTAACATCCATCGGCTGCATGTGAAGCGCAGCATGGGGTGGAAGAAGGCTTGTGATGAGCTGGAACTGCACCAGCGTTTTCTTCGTGAAGGGAGATTCTGGAAATCAAAGAATGAGGATAAAGGGGAAGAGGAGGCAGAGTCGAGTATCTCTTCCACCAGCAATGAGCAGGTGAGTGCTGCCACAACATTAGCAATCAGGGCAATTTATGAAAAGCTACAAAGACGACATATTTTTAACTAATTTGCAGTTAAATTAGACTTGTTCTCTGACTGCCGTTTTGTGGTGGTAAGAAGAGGGTTTAAAGGCTTATTTTCCCTATGTTTTGTAGCTCTGTAATAGCAAGAATATAGAGTTTTCTTCTTTCCTCAGTTTCTTGGATGACCTCTGGGAGGAAGACATAATTGTCACCTACAGCACCTTGGTGAGACAGACCAAGATTTCTAAAGTTATACAGGAATGTTCAAGTTAAATGTCATGGATATCAGATAGACTGCAACACTGCCTTGTTGGACTCCCATCAAGGGACAGCCCTGTAGCTGCTTAGCCTTTTCACAGCTGGAGTATGTTCACTTTGGACTGTATTCTGCACTACAGATCCCTGAATAACAGCAACCATGACATTTGCAGCAAGTCCAAGTAAAGTTAGGTGTGAATGTTGCGCTGGAGGACCAAGTGATCAGCAGCTGATTAAGGTCATTAAAAACAATTCTGCAAAACAAAACAAAAACAATATGGCTTTAACAAAGGTGAAAAGGACAAAGGGCCAGGATACAAACCTTTGCATTGCCACATGGAAATTCCTTATCACAGCTGAACTTTGCTAGCCATTTATTGTCTGAGAGGGTGTTATATATTCACTATTACTGATTTGGTAGGAAGATTTTCATAGCTTGAAGGATGCTTTTCTGCATTTTTTGCAGCCTTTCCCCTGGCAACATCTTCTCATTTAAAACCTCTATCCTCTCTCTAAAGCTGTACTTAAACCATCAGTGTGTTTTGACCCTCTTCCTTTCCCCTTACGTTAAACTGGTCTGCCATCCAATTTGTAGCTGAAAACTTCAAGCTTATAAAACTGGATGTTGCTTTAAATAGATGCTCCTTATCAAAGTGGTTTAGGGGTTTTTAACTTGGTTTGCTTAGCTGACCCTTTGTAGCCTCTTTATTTTATGTCATGTATGCAGTTATTCAACAATGTATGATGAAACAGGAAAACAGTCACAAATAATATTTATGAAATATAAGAGTGGCATTTTCCCAGGTTTTCAAAAGTGTCATTTAGAGGGTTTGAAGTGTCAATTTGCGTTATTTTCTGTTCCACCCCCAACGTTCATCTTTCACTTGGTTAATGCTTATACCTGCACTGGTTTCCCAGATCCAAGAATTTAAGAGAAGCCATCAAAGTAAGTGCTCTGCAATATCCTGTCACTAGCACTAGCTAGAACTGGATTCTTCAAAGACAGGAGTAAGAACTTTTCTGTAAGCTGTTGTAAGATAATACACCATCCACTTAGATACCACCCTTGTTTCTATTGCTGGAGATGGAATTTTATTTTTGAAGCTGAAGTTTTGTACCCCTTCAAGCATAGAGTTCTAATCAATTATAGCAAGTCTGGATAATCTTACTGTCTTTATATATGGATATAAACACATACCTTCTTTTTATAATTATTGCTGTTTTCTGGCTTCCAACAGAATCTGCTGCCTAATTACAGGGCACGGACATCAGAATATTCCAGAAACAAGTGTTTGAATTTTTGTGTGAAATGAAGAAAATAATAGTTAAGGGTACTTTAGCAAATACCCATTGAATGTTATAACTTGTTCATGCATTTTCTTTTGTGCAATCCTAGTCATCAGTGATAGTGTGGAAAGTTCATCATGTGCACTTCTCATTTAAGATCTATGTTCAACTTTCTATTTGCTACATTAAATAGTTGCACATAATCACAAATAAAAGGTACATTAGTCATGTTACAGTGGATGCTGATGCCTTTAGGAGCTGGTTTTTTGGAATGATTCAATATGCTTTTCATAACATTCACAGCTGAAGGTTACTCAGGAACCACGAGCAAAGAAAGGACGACGTAACCAGAGCATGGAACTCAAGAAAGAAGTAAGTAACCTCTGTTACCAGAACAAAGCACAGAAAATCTGAAATTTTAATAGACACTTTTTCAAGTTCTGCTACTTGTACTGATTTTATGGTATTAGTCTTAGAAGTTCCAGCCCCATAGCTTGATCCTCCTTGCTAACAAATATAATTGTACCTCCCTCATGCTGGTCATTGGTGTCATTTTGGTAAAATTCTGTATCATTAATGGATCAACAATCAACTTACAACTTTTATTTATTATTTTTTTTATGACAAATTCAGGCTAGTTAGTAAGTCTATAAACAGCGGAAGTTAGAAAATCCTTTGCATGATCAACCATGTAAGCTTATAAAATGTCGTATCCACATTTGTGCGTAGAACTTCCTTGTTTATCCAAGTTGCTCACTAAACGAGCATGTAACTAGGGAGTGTATTATTATGCTTGTACACAAGGGGGCAGATACTGAGACAGCCATCAATCTCTTATGTCCTAACTTTTGAGTACTTTTTCCTGGCCTTGTTTTAGCTGCATGTTGAACACTATGAGAAAGTTGCAAATATGTACAGTCCTCAGAAGAGGACTTGGGATTCCCTTACAGAGGAGGATCCAGGTATTTTAGCACCAGAGTTATGTGTGTTGGTCCTGGTGCCTGAAATACAGACACTGCCACTCCTCATATCTGGGCACCTGCCTCCCCATTGTGTGATACTGCAGGAGGTGTCTTCAGCAATGGAGGCAGTGACACGCTGCTCATGTTCCTGGGGGCACAAAGACTATTTGAGTACAAGATAGAGAGACTACAGTTTAGGATGTCTTGTCATTTTTATTGTGTTTTCTGTCAGGCAAATGCTGTAATTTGTTTCATGTATTTATGTCTTAATATTAGCTTTCTTAGTTCTGCTCACATTTGATCAGTGATCCAGAAGTCAATCAGAGTGACCTATTAGAGACTAATTGGTTGCAAAAGGGAATACACACTCAGCCTTTCGATTGGTGTGAACAGTGTCCCATCACACAAACAGGCACCAGATCTACTGCTGAGCAAGTTTGGTGTTACAAGGACTGTGTACTTTGTACACTGTTAAATGAGCTTTAAAAACTAATTTAAGAAAAAAAAAAAAAAAAAAAAAAAGAAACAAAAACAACCAATCAAGTATTGTTCATCTGTGTCTTAAGACACTTCTAATATCAATAACAGTTGCAGGGTTATTACTTCTATCCATTCTAAAGAGCAGGAGCAATGGGTGTTAGAGTGTAATAACACAGGCACCTAAATTCAGTACAGTACGTACAGCAACTGAGATTTCTTTCTTGGTAATTGTGTAATTACAGAAAGCTTCTGTGGTCATCCAAGTCTAGTTTTGTATTATTGGAAGCAAGACTTAGACGCTCATTAGCTTTTCATCTTCAAAGCACCTTTGAACTACTAGTCAATCTTTGCAGAAGTTCTCTGAAATCAGTGGAATCTTATAGACTCCAGTGGGGCCTGCTGGGCTAGAGTAAGCCCAGAGATTACCATAACAATTCAGGCACCTTGAGCACTCAGCTACAGTCTCTTCAGGGAGAATGGTATCAGGGGAAATCTATAGCAACTCTTTAGTAATCCAAAGCCTCTGATGCTGGTTGTACTTTTTGGGAATCAAGGCTGGTGAGTGTGGCATACTGATGCCACATGTGTGCTTCTTTCTGGAGGGCTCCTAGCTGAAGTCAGAAAAGCCTGACCAAACAACCTACCCCCTGTCATGCTATTTGTCCTCAGGGATCCCATTGGCACTAAAGGTCTTCAACAGACATCTTTCATATTAGTTGTGCTGACATTAGTCATGTAACATTTATTCTCCACAGTTCTATTTCGATATCTGGATTTACAAGTTTGTTCTTCCTCTGTAGGAGCCAGAACCTGAAACTGAAGCAGTAAGTTCAAGCCAGGAAATTCCCACAATGCCCCAGCCTATTGAAAAAGTTTCAGTCTCAACTCAGACCAAGAAGTTAAGTGCCTCTTCTCCAAAAATGCTGCATCGGAGCACCCAGACCAGTAATGATGGAGTGTGTCAGAACATGTGCCATGACAAATACACCAAAATCTTTAATGATTTCAAGGACAGGATGAAAGCTGATCACAAAAGAGAAACTGAGCGAGTTGTGCGAGAGGCAGTGGAAAAGGTAACCCTTGCTGAATACCACCTACACCCTGGTTTGTGGGGTGTAGATTTTTTTCACATTCTTTTCTGGTTTTGTAACATCCACCCTTAAGAAAATTAATTAAAAAACCCCTTTTCAAAGAGACCACATAAAAATGGTCTTCATTATTGCTTTTTAGGCCATTTCTATACCAACAAACCTTAGTTTGAACAGAAAATTCTGGCCTTTTTTATCCTTTTGTCCAGCAATCCTTCTAGCCTTTTAGCCTGATCTAGTTATCCTTTTAGCCTTTTGTCCAGCAAAATCAGTTTATGATCCAAAAACTAAACTAATTGTTCATTCATGAGTATCCATCTCCAAAGCCTGTGTCTCCATTGTCAAGTGTTTCAATGCTATTCATAAATTATTCTTATTTTGTCCATCTTCTGACCTAAACATTAAATAGATTCACTGAAATTTGTTTCAGTTTTCTTATCTAATGATAACCTGTTTAAAATACAATATGTAAACCTGAGCTGGTCAGCTTTGGCTGGAGAGAGTAAGACAGTTTAGAGGATTAATTGTCTGACCTCTCTTAAGTACATGGCTTAGGACAAGATTAATTTCCTTCTGGGTGAAGGACTATGGAGTGAACCTAGGGTGTTTTAAGTGTTAAACCTGTAGGTTAAGGCACCAAACTTTTAGATAACTGAGCAAGGGCAAAGGAATCCCGCTGACAATGAATACTGATAGGTACCTCTTACTGAACTCAGGGAAGTTCTATTTTGTATTTCGATTGTGCCCTTGCTGGAGATTTGTATGCAGTTGTAGATTTGGAAAAGAGAAGATCTTTGTCTAAGGTAAATTAATAAATTTGTAAATCAATCATTGATAAAATATATGTAGATGCCTAGCAGAATAGAAATATGGGGACATTTTTATTTGGAATGTTTCTTATGGGATGGAATTATTATTTTTCTAATGACTCTAAAGGAGAGAACTTTTTGTTCTCCAAATAGGAGAAATCTCTACTTATGTGACCTCCATCCACACCAGTAATAGAGGTTTAAACAGTAGATGTTTAAAGAAGATACTTTATTCCAACAGTTGTTCATTGACTTGTTTTGCTGACTCTCTTATGGCAGCTGCGTACAGAGATGGAAGAAGAGAAAAGGCAGGCTGTAAATAAGGCTGTGGCCAATGCACAAGGAGAGATGGACAGAAAATGTAAGCAAGTGAAGGAGAAGTGCAAAGAGGAATTTTTAGAAGAAATTAAGAAACTAGCAGGACAGCACAAGCAGCTGATTTCTCAGACCAAGAAGAAGCAGTGGGTAAGTGTCAAAAAGATATTACAGGACAGTAAGTGCAAATGTATAATTAATACTACAGGCCAGTTGAAGGTTATTTTCTCCTTACTTTTTACTGCATTGTTCCTTCATTGGTCTGTTGGCTATAAGGTTTGCTCCTTCATATTACTGCTTTCAAATTTTCATAACCTTCAACTTTCAACTCAAAGTTCTGATTGCTTTCTATCTTCATTACGAGTGTTAACAGTGCCATCTTCTTGAGTCCAATCAAATTCTAGTATGAAAATTATCTTTTTCTAAATGCAGTTTTACTGCATGTTAAGTCGTTTTGCATTAGTCCTTTGATCTCAAGGCCCTAGAGGGTACAGTATCTGGCTGCATCCGTTTATATTCCCCTGCTAATAATGCTGGTAGTGTTACTATTTTGGCCTTAGACAGGCTGAGAGTTGGGGTTGTTCAGCCTGGAGAAGAGAGGCTCTGGAGAGACCTTGTAGAGGCCTTCGTATACCTGAAGGGGCTACAGGAAAGCTGGGTAGGGGCTTTTTACAAAAGTGTGTAGTGGTAGGACTAGGGACAATGTCTTTAAACTAGAAGAGGGTAGATTTAGCTTAGACATTATAAAGAAATTCTTTAGTGTGAGGGTGGTGAGACACTAGCACAGGTTGCCCAGGGAAGTTGTGGATGCCCCTTTCCTGGAAGTGTTCAAGGCCAGGTTGGATGGGACTTTGAGCAACCTGATCTAGTGGGAGGTGTCCCTGCCCATGCAAGGGGGTGGAACTAGATGATTTTTAAGGTCCCTTCCAATCCAAATCATTCTCTGATTGTATTTTTTTCTTCTCCTAGCTTTTTTTTTTGAGGCTCTTTTATGTTCATTTTTATTTAAGACATGACTTTCTGAAGTATATTTCTCTCCCTTGCTCAGTCCTTAACCCCAAATCTGCAGCATTACGTACAAAAAAGTATGCCCTTTAGAAAAGTGAAACAGCCATCTAGCTTACTGTTCTATTACATGCTGCAAGCTTTTCCCTCTTCTTGTTTTGCGCCTTCTGTTTTCTTTTCAAGCCAGAAGTGTGTTCTCCCACATGGCTGTACAGCATCTACTCAGACATGGCAAGTGCTGCAATGCTGTGCTGTTAGCCTGTAGCACAGGTGGGTGGAAGCTGTTACGCTGAGGAGCAGTGGGCCTGGCACACACACAAACTTTGCTGTTCCTTTGCTCGTTTTCATAGAGCAGGGAAATGAAAGGCACTGGTTCAGGAATCACGAGGCGCTGCAGTAGCTGTCTGTAACGTGCAGGAGGGGTGGGTACAAGATTTTCTGACCGCCTCCTTTTGAGCGTTGATGTTGGCAGATGCGGCTGAGCAGCGTGCAGGTGCGTTGCCACAAGGTGGCACAAGATCTGAGCGGTGAGGGACCACCACCGTGCCACTGCCCCTGCACCTGCCACTGCCACTGCACCTGCCCCTGCCACTGCCCCTGCACCTGCCCCTGCCCCTGCCACTGCCACTGCCACTGCACCTGCCACTGCCACTGCATCTGCCACTGCCCCTGCCCCCGGGCACTGCCAGCCCTCCTCCTGAAGCTCCCCTTTCTCTTGCACTGTTCAGGGCTGTTTGTTTATGTTCAGCCTCATTAGTCCTTGTTCGTGCAGATTAAGTGATGGTCCCTGTGGAAAAGTGAAATAAATACGAAGGTGAGACAATCGGTTGCTGACCATCACAGTCATGAGTTTATTGTTTGTAAAGAGAATTACTTCAAATGCCAGAGCTCCTGTAGAGTCTTCATTTCTGTTCTAGTAGAGATTTTGCCGTGGGAGTTATGATACTGCAGTGCTTGGGACTCTCTCAGAGAGTTAGAAAATTCCTCCCTGTCTGCCTGTCTCTGCAGACCAAAGAAGTTCTTAAGGTTTTGGACTTGATCAAATTACTGTGTTTAATGAGTCACCATTCTGCCTGAATGCTTTTGCCTGTGGCACTTCAGAAGGAATTGAATTGTCTTTGCCCACTATAGAACTACATCAAATTAGTTCCCTTCTGTTGTAAGTTGAGTGCACATGTGAACTGTTGCCACTGTTTAGTTGATATGCAGTAACTCAATCACAGTAACTTGGTTGTGAGTCTGGACTCAACTGTACCTGCTTTTTGGTTTTCTTGAAGGCAAAATTTATGAAAGAGACTCCCAAGACTTACTTCCATCTGCTCCAAAGTGCCTTTAGCCTAATCAGAGAGTGCCCTGGTACCACATCGCTGCATCTTATGATCATGTACATAAAGTCTCTTTCCAAGCAAGACAATTAAATATATAAAGAACATTTGACAATCTTGCCTATTTCAGTGGTTCCAGAACTATCTGTCAATCACCACCTTAAATAAAGGCATCACACAGGCAGCTGGTTTGCATGTGGTAGGAGAGGGAGGGTACAGATAAACACCTTGGCATTGAAGCTGATGGATCTGCCTGCCAACATACAGCCTCAGGCAGCTGGAGTTGGTCCAATTACCCAACTCCCCAGTGATTTTTCTTTCGGTGGTACTAATGACAGTCCCTGGCGTGTAGTATTGCTCTTGTATAGTGCTATTATAATAATGATACCTCCTTACCAAAATCTCATGTAATTAACACACATACTAAATGAGTTTTGGTGGCTTTGCTTTTTAATTAGAAGCAGAGGCCTCTGGTTTTGCGTAATGCAGATGTCTAGGCTTGGGAATACAGCTGGTATTATTCATGCTGTATTTGTCTTTTTCTCATAAAAATCCAGTCAGGATTAAGAGATGGTTTTGCTTGTGGCATACAGGCATGTGAGAAGATCCCAGTCCTCAGGAGCTTAACACATAGTTAAAGAACGTTGAAGTTAAAGAAAGATAAAGATTTTAACTGATCACAGTCCCTTTGGCTTAACCCAATCTCATTTTTATACCTCCAGAAAATTTGGATTTAATACAGATACCTCAAGTAAATAGCAAATGAAAGGAAGAAATGTAAAGGCAAGGTTAACAATCAGGAGATTATGGAGTTTGACAGCCTCCAGAGTACAAGCTAGGGTGCTGGTCTTGATAATGTTTCTTTTTCAGTTTCTTCCAGTTCTTTTATTTTCATGTAAGCCTCATGTAAATTGGTGCATAGTTCACTTTTATAGTTAATTTTTAACTTCTGTCTCTTTCAATTAAATTTACATTTATAGTTATTCTAACTTGAAAACAGGTTGTTTGCAAGTGAATGAGCATTGTCCGTAACATGTACTATCTGAAAAAAAAGCCCAAGCAACTGATAATGTTTAGAAAGAGGAAAATGCAAAGAAAAGAGAAAGCCTAAGTCCAGCTGGCTTTTTGCCTTCACTGCTACATGTTCTGGTACCAGCTTAGATGACACTATTTTCCTTTTTTAAGTGGAGATTTACATCCCATACTTATGGCCAGCATATGTAAAGGGAAGCAAAGGATACACAGATCTCCCGTTTTAGCTTTTTTGATCTCTCTGAGCAAGCAGATGTGAAGCTGGTCTCTGGGCTGAGGCCCATGCTGTATGTAATGGAGAGGCACAGCTGTTCCCTGCACCTTTACAGCAGATGATCCTAATGGTTCCCACAGGCTTGTAGACAGCCAGCAACATGAAAAAACAGGAAAACAGCTCTTGAGAGGACACTTGTTTGCAGACGTTCCTACAAATAAATTTCCCTCGAGCTAAGTTATAAACAAACTGGAGACGTTCCCTTCTCATGAAGCTAGGGCAGTCCCTTTATTACAGATGTAAATAAATAGCAGTTTAACCAATGTCAGTGTTGGTTTTCTGGGAACTGTCTTGTTGTAGTGTGTAGGATTGTTGTGGTTCTGTTTCGTTTTAAGGCAGTTGGGCTTGTTTTCTTTGTAATTTTGTTTTATTAACAATGCTGTAGCTAGGCAGGACATAACCAGTAAATTGTGTTACCCTGTGGTTTGATAGCAGCCTGCACAGCCTGTGTGATATCTCTCTGTTCACCATCATGCAGTAAGCATTCCAGACTGGTTTTGTAGAGATACTCTCTGATTTTGAGCGGACCAAATTCAGAAAGACAAATCTGAGGTCATCAGGACCTGGCTTTCAAGGGCTTTGAGTATAAGTGGCTTGAGCAGCAATGCCATCCTACTTCATAGGATTCTGTCAGAATGGTAGTTAATGCTTTTGCAGCAAGACCTGAAGGGGTATAAAACCACCTAGAGACAGGGCACATTGCCTGTCTGGGTGCCATAACTCCTTGTTGACCACCTATAGTGTTGACCAGCATAATTATTCCCTTTTTTTAGTTCCTCAGAGGCCACAGGGTTATTTTCCAGGTAATTCTTCCAGCTACCAGTCAAGTGGGGATGTTCTGTGTGTACCAAGGTAGAAATCCTCCTTGCTGAGGCACTCCTCAGAAGCAAGCATTTCTGCTGAAGTCACAGGCTGTGCAAGCATCTCTTTATTTGAGGAGCTTTGTGCAGTCCTGGCAGCCAGGACAAAGTGCGAGAGCCCACATTGCCATCCTGTGTACAACAGGCCTTCTCTGGTTTCTGGAAGATTTGAAGGAAAAGACACTTTATTGCTATTCCCAGTAGCACTGACATAGCATGAGGTTTTCCTTTCACAAGATTGCAGCACTGTCTGTCAGCAAAACCCACTGACAGTAGCCTCCTTGCAGACCTACCACTTGGTCATGAATTATTCTCTTCTCCAGTGAGGTTCCAGTTGTGACTTTTGAGATTTTCCTAGCCCAAAAATGATCTTCCCCAGCAACCACACAGCAGGTCAGGCTTGTAAAGAAACCTCAGAAATGCTGATTTTCAAGCTTGCACAGTAACTTTTCATGCCAGAAGGGCCTGTTGATTTATTGTAGTTTTTAAGACATAGATCAGGGTTCTATTAAACAAACATGGGGAAGAAGACGTTTCCTGTACTTTGTGGCTGAAAAATGTCTGTCCACTGCCCTGGGAAATGAGTTTTCTTAAGTAAGAGATTATTTTTTCAAAAACAATAATCCAGACTCCAGAAAATATGAAAGCACTGTGCAGATTAGCTGAAGGTTGCTGCTTTACTCAGCACGTGTGAAAAATGCCCTGCTGCCTTTGGATGCCCCACATGTACATAAAAGAGAAGTATTGCTCTGCACGTGCTGGTGCATCCATGAACAGGTGAGAACACTCGTGCGCTGGGAAGGAGGGATCCTGCCAGGGTGGTAATCTCCTCTCGTTTGTTCTCTCCAGTGCTACAACTGTGAAGAAGAGGCCATGTACCACTGCTGCTGGAACACTTCCTACTGCTCCATCAAGTGTCAGCAGGAGCACTGGCATGCTGAACACAAACGTACCTGCCGCAGAAAAAGATGAAAGAGTTATTCCTCCCCTGGAAAACCACCCCGATGATTGCTATTCTCAGACACAGCGGTTTTTGTTTCCAAGAAGCCAAAATTGTTTAGAATTTGCTTCCCATTTTGCACCAGCCTTTAAACACTTTTCGTAAAAGAAATTTTGCACAGTAATTTCAATCTTTCCGTTTAATGCTCCTCCAAAATGTTTTCCGCAAAATGAATTTAACATCTGTGGGAGGAGGTTACTTTAAATAATTTTAAACTAGAGGATTTGTTGCATTTTCAGCAAATTTTAAAACATTTTTAGGTTTTACAGAGATTTTAATCTTTAAAAAACAGCAGATCTCAAAATAAAAAGTCATACAAGTTTAACAAAAGGAACATTTAAAAACTAGATCTGAATGTAAGAAGTATAGAACTGTTTCAGAAAAGAGAAGCATACTACCTTGTTGTAACATTTATTTCTTAACCTTCTTGAGCTGGTTTTGTTCAGCTTAATTTTACTGTTTAAAGGCATTATCTATTGGTTATACCAGTGGGTACATGATTGAATTTAGGGAACAGGGTTGACACAGCAGGTGCTAGTCCTGCGTATTTTTTCTTAAATATTTCCCAACTGTGTTTTATTTTCATTATTTCTTTTCAATATATAACTTTTATAACAAAATATTAGCTTTGATCTTGTAGTTTAAAATCACAGGGAACTGGGGTAATCTTTTACTGAGCTGGATCTTAGAGAAAAAATGAATATTTAAATTTTGAAGTTTGCACATTTCATCTTTGTCCTAACATGAGTGCTTGTAACAAGAATAAGAAAAGCAAAAAAAAAAAAAAGCCAACAAAAAAACCCAAAACACCCAACTACCTTTATTCACACATGAAATGATGAGGCATACAAATTTCTTTACTGCGCCCACCCCTCCCTCCCCCCCTGCTTCAGTCTCCCCAATCCAATGTCATTTGACTGCCTATGATCTGGTGTCACCTGGTCCATTGTAACTTGATAATAAAAGGAGAAAAAAAAGCACTTAAGTTTCACAGAAGCCGTTATGTTTGTAGTAATGGGTCATTGCCTATTAATGAGCTCCATCACTGTACTCAGAATGAAGAATAATGCATGTTAATTTTCTTGTATTAAAGATGCCGTGATTTGTAAAAAGTCTGTATTTTGCGGAATGTCTGGATTAAGAAGCATTACCAATAGGAATGGATCGATAGTTGAGAAATTATTTCTTTTTTTGTTTGTTTTATATATAGATATATGAATTGCATCCATGTTCAGAGACATTTTTTAAATAGATGTAAAACTGACTGAAATAGCTTTTCTTTTCAAGTCTCTCCACATTTTAGGTTTTTTTTCAAAGACTGGTCTTAGACTGAGTCGTATGCCCATTAACCATCCAGCTATTTTTTAAGAAGTTAGAGGAATAATTTGTAAATATTTATTTAGATCTTTGATATTTATTGAAAGCAATTACATGATGGAACGATGGAAGCTGAAGAATCAGGAGGAAAGCCTTTAAAAAAGTTTTCTCTAGGATTTGTCAGGGTCATTGTAAAGATGAAAATATAACTAAGACTTCTGTGAACTACCACTGAAATCCTAATTTTTTTTACTTACAGTGGTGATATAAGTTAATTGACTAGATACTGCCAAATAATGCCCAAAGTGTTGCAGAAATTAAGTGGCAAGTTGATTGGGAAAATAGTAAGAAGATGGTAACTTGTATTACCACAGCTACATTATTGCCTGATTAATGTGTAATTAACTTTTGTCGCCTCTGTGTTGTGACTGTAAAACACTTCACAACTAAAAATCAATCTTGTTCGATTACTTTACAAGTTCCAAAACTTCGATCCACCCCTATGAAAGCAAGTTATCGTGGAAATATTTTTGGTGTAAAATCATTCCAGAATATGTAATATTTAACTGATAGCTGCATGAAAGTAAGATTCGTGTTACTTTGGCTTTTTTGTCTCTGTTGACACGGTTGCACATTTCCAAGTTACTACAGTGTGAAAACTGTGTGTTTTAAAGAAAAAAAAAAAGAAAAAAAAAACAACAAAATGAAAAAAAAAAAAAGATTGTGGCCTGGTTTTGTATAAGTTTTAGGTAAAATTACAATTGATTGTTTTAGGAATCATGATTTAAAATTAATTTTTCTGCAAATCATAAAGCTATATTAAAGTGTTGAGCTTAGCCACTATGCACATTGTAATTATTCATTGTGGCTGTCCAGTTTATGATGCATTCTGGCATTTTGTAAGCTGCTCTGACTAGCAATATATAGAGTCATTTAATGTGTTAACATTGGTTAATAAATGTATTTAAAAAAAACCACAAAAAACAAACACTGAAAGTGTCTGTGTTGATTTTCATAGAATCATAGAATCCTTTTTGGCCAGTTGTGCTCACACCCTTGGGTGGCCGTGCATGAGACTGCTATTTGTATTTGTCCTTACCTAGAAAGACTGAGGCAGTGGATGAGGGAGCTGTGCCTGAACTTGTGGGGATCTTGCTTCTGACCTGAGGTGGGCTGGCAGGGCTTGAGCATTTAACATGGCTCTTGGCACCAAAAGTGACCCTTTTCAGCACGTTCTGAGCCAGCAGTCTCTGGAAGCTGCATCCCTCGTGTGCTGGTTTTGATGCCAGGGCCTGCGCTGCTGGCAGCCAGCGTGGGCTCACAGATCCCCTTCCCCGTGTGCTTCCCCTCACCAGTGGCCCCATTCTGCCTCTTCCCTAAACTGGTTGCCACTCCTGAGCCTGTGCCCATTATATATATCATTAATAAAATAATTTTATCAGGAGGGACTGAGGGGACTCTCTCAACTCAGCTCCAGCCTGGACTGTGACAGCATTTACCAACCCAGCACTGTGCAACAGTCGCTCTCATTAACTCTTGAAGTCCAGACTTCCTGCCAGCAGGGTGCCCAAGGGCCCACGCTGGTGCTGCTGCCCACAGGCCATGTCCAACAGCTACCCCTAGAGAAAGAGTCATTTGAGGTTGAGCCACAGGCAAGACAAATTGTCCTGAAGCCCCATCAAGACTTTGGGGCTGCAGTAGGGGCACTGTAGGACTTTGTTCCTCTGTGGCAATTCTAAATTTCCCTGTGGGAATTAAGACCTGGCATGACCTGGTAGTTCCAGGAAAAAAAACCATTTAAAATAATTTCAAAAATTGTATTTTTAATTTTTAAATATCCATCAAAAGTCTTTTATTATTTTAAAAGCACACTTTACTGTTCTTACATGAGTCATAGCATTTTACCCAAGAGTGCAAAATTTATTCATTCAGCTTGATGAAACTTGACTAAATACAAAGAACCAGCACAGCACATGTATTTCAAATGAAGCATTTATCCCGAATCAAGAGAGCAAAGCAGGATCAGGAGCAAACAGTATCTGTGTCCACCAACCCTGTGCTCCCTTTCCCAGGCCTTCTCCTCCTTCAGTGACTGCAGCCAGCCTCCAAGACAGCACTGACCACCAGCACGCCACTGGCACAAGTTCCCAGTGGAAACATTCCCCCTCATCCCTCCCTGTGCACATTTGTTGGTTCAGGTGTCACCAGTGGGGCTGGAGGTGCTTTGGAAGTGCTATCACTGCTTCCCACCTCCAGCACACAATATGGGTCCTCCACAACCCTATCACACACCCTATGCTGGGCCCTCTCACCACCAACTCTGCTAAGCAGAGCAGGACGTTTGTCCCTGCACGTCCCCGAATCTGCCAGTTACCCTCCACCAGAAATGCTGGAATGAGCTGAGGCTGCTCCGAGCTGCTGCTATTTTACCACCACAAACAAGAATCCTAGTGCATCAGGCTTAAATACATTATCTGGCTTTTTATTAGTGACTTTTCCTTTTTTTATCATTGTTATTATTGTTGTTATTAACATTATTATTATTGTTATTATTCAATAACAATAATAACCTTAACTCTGGCTGTTGCTTCATTTGAAGGAAGAGCAGTGGTTTCTGCCTCCTGCTTCCTTTAGGTGGAGTGAGCTGCCCAGCTCAGGGCTTCTTTGCCTTTCCATGCCTGAAGTGACTGAGTATGTGAAATATGTTTGGGATTTGTTACCAGTAGTTAGGGGCTACTCAGCCAATTTTAGCCTCAGTGAGTGAGAGCAGCCTGTGCATATGCTTTCCAAATGCTTTTATAAATCAAACTGGGAGGGGTATCAAAGGGAGAAAGGCCCTTCCTGCATTGTTTTCATGTTAAGGAAATTCAATTGCAAGTGAAAAGGTCCCTACATTTGTGAGAAGAATACAGTGTTTCTGCATTTAAGTGGGAGATATTCATAGTTAATGTAAAAGGAGCCTTCCAAACCCCTGAAAAAAACGTAGTTTTATCTTGATAAAACCCATTCGCACATGTCAAAAGGCTCAAACGCTTGTTTGAGTAATTCTCTTTAAAATATAAATACATAAATAAAAAATGCTGCATTGCTTAAAGTTCAAAATTGTAAAATCAGAAAAGAGAGCTCAGATAGAATTAGCTTTAAATGCCCCTTCCTGCTCTCCACAGCCATGCCTGTCCCAGGACCTCTCCAGCCCAACAGCCCTGGAGCACCCTGTGGTGAAGTGTGGAATGATGCCTTCAGGCATGGCAAACACTGATGGAGGGGCTAAAATTAAATACAGTGCCTGCCTTGCAGATAATTGTTACATGAAAGGGGACTAATAATTGAAGATAATACAGAAGAAAGGCTGAGAAAGAGCGAAAAGGGGTCATGGTAAAAGGCAGAGTGATGTGTTTGTTTATGAAGCCATCAGCCAGTTTCTGTTAACTCCCTGGAAGTAAAAACTGAGATGGCATAAAGCTTCAATGGAAATAGGATTTGCCCCAGAGAGGTACCTAAAAATAAACTTGAGTTCTGCACAAAGACACAGTGAAGCTGGTTAGCATGAAATGCTTTACTAGTGTTTGCAAAAGGACTTCTGTGGCAGAAAACAACGTTTATTAATTAAGCCAGAGCACTATTTCATTTGTAACTACTTTGTGAACAGGAAAAGTGTCTTTTGCAGCCAGGCACTGCAGGTGGCTCTGGACTCTGCTTGCTGCCATGCCAGGTGCCTGCCTCTCCTCTGATCCTGCTCCCATGGGAAGAGCACGTGGGAGCCAGATCCATGCTGGGCCAGTGCTGAGCCATGATCCCTTTGTGCTTGGACTGGGCAATGTGATTTTGTCCCTTGTAAAGGCCTTCAAGGTGAAAAATGGCATCATTAAAAGCAAAAACAAAACTGGTGCCTTGTATACAGCAGCTCTCGAAGCCCTTGCCATCAGGAAAGAGGGGTTTGCCTGGTGTGGACCAGCCACACATGCCTTGGCTCATTGGGGCACCCCTCACTGTCCTCATTAGGAGGAGCAAGCACCATTTCTAGGAGAGCTGTGTGGGTCTGGCACGGCCTCAGGAGGAAGCACAGAGAGGTGTCCAAACCCCCGCAGTGCGGGCAGCCTGGTGCGGGCAGGGAGCTCCTCCAGTGCCCGTGCTGCAGCTCAGCTCCTGCCAAGGACAAGCACTGGCTCCTGGAAAAAAAACACTGCCAGGAACTCTGCCATGCGTGGCTGATGCACTAGGGAGGCAATTTCTTTGGCTGACAAAACGTTTGCCCAAGTGACAGAGCCTTTCCCTGCCTTTTCACAAGTCTGTAAAGACCATGGGTGCTGGAAAGCTTTTTGGTTTTTTCCCCTGAAGAAAAGAGAGATGTGCAAGTGCTTGTTATTTTTCCTGTGGACCCCAGAGCCAGCAGCTTAACTCTGGGCTCCTGCTGTAAAGCGGTGGCCACTGCAGTGAGCAGGCTGCCCTATGCTCACCAACTTGGGAGTCAGTGCTGGATGGTGAGCAGGAGCCCAGGACCACTCTCCCCTTCTCACCAGCAGCATGGATGCCACATCTCTGTCCAGTATTTGGTTAGGTGCAACACTGCACTTGCAAAAAAAAACAACAACCCAAGCCCTGTAGATTGTATTTCACTGCAGTTGGTCAGGGCAATGTTGGCTTTTGGGGTCCAGGCAGGAAGTAGGAGAAGCTCACACCACTGGTCTGCTGCTGGGTGCCTGGTACTGGCTTCCTGCCCATAGGTGGGTGAACCCTGGCTCCTGCTGACAATAATGCTGCAGGAGCAGCTGCTGCAGAAAAGGCCCATGCAGTTAAAGAGCAGCCAGGAATTCAAGCTTAAGAGCTATAGGCCTCCTGGAGTTCCTCCCCAGCCCTGGCACAACCCAGCCTGCCACCATTTTGCCATGGCAAGTGTCCTGGCAGGGCCCAGCCTGTGCCTGCAGCAAGCCCTCCTGGCCCAAGGCAGGACATGGCAGCTCACTTGGCAGTGCTGGGTTGAATTATGTGAAAATAGTCAATGTCATCCCCTTTCCCCCAAAATCCTGCTCGCTGCCTTTTACTGACAGGCCACAGGGAAAGGTTAACCTTAGTGCTCTCACACCTGCCTGGGCAGTCCTCATCACTCCTTCAGGGTGAGCTCCAGCACCTGGTGGAAGTTTCTCCCAGTCACAACACCCCTGCCCAGAGCTTCTCAGCTCAGCAGCAGGTTCCTAGGGCTGCACTCTCCACACAGAAGGAGCTGCAGAGACGGAACCCGTTTACAGGCTTTGCTGGTAACAGCTTGTTCAAGCTGACAGGCTGCACCCAGAGGGTGATGGTAAATAGCTCTTCATCAACCTGGCAATCTATCACAAATGGGAACCTAGTGCTGTTAATGTTGTCTTAAGTGATCCAGCTGGTAAAGTGTACCCTGATGAAGTCTGCAGATGGCACCAAACTGAGAGGGCCATAGACACGCCAGAAGGGTGAGCCACCCTGCAGAAATACCTGGATAGACTAGAAGAGTGGGCCAACAAGAACCTTATGAATGTCAACAGAACAAGTGTAAGTTCTTGCACCTGGGAAGACATAACCCCAGAGTGCTGGGATCTACCTGGCTGGAGAGCAGCTCTGTAGAAAGGGACCCAGGGCTCCTTGTGGACAACAAGTTCAAGATGAGTGAACAATTTGCTGCAGCAGGAAAGAAAGCCAACAGGCTTGCCAACAGGGTTG